GGATTTTAAGAATTTAAAATGCCTTAAATTCCTTAAAATCCTTAAAATATTGAAAGGTCCGGGCTTTCAAAATTTTAAGGATTTTAAGGATTTTAAGGATTTTTAAAATTTTAAATGGGCCTGCCTCTTTCCGGAAAATAATTTAATTTTCTTTCAAAATGTTAAGGATTTTAAGGATTTTAAGAAATTTAAAAGGCCTTAAATTTCTTAAAATCCTTAAAATTTTGAAAGGCCCGGGCTTTCAAAATTTTAAGGATTTTAAGGATTTTAACGGAGTTTTAAACTTTTAAATGGGCCTGCCTCTTTCCGGAAAATAATTTAATTTTCTTTCAAAATGTTAAGGATTTTAAGGATTTTAAGAAATTTAAAAGGCCTTAAATTTCTTAAAATCCTTAAAATTTTGAAAGGCCCGGGCTTTCAAAATTTTAAGGATTTTAAGGATTTTTAAAATTTTAAATGGGCCTGCCTCTTTCCGGAAAATATTTTAATTTTCTTTCAAAATTTTAAGGATTTTAAGAAATTTAAAAGGCCTTAAATTCCTTAAAATCCTTAAAATTTTGAAAGGCCCGGGCTTTCAAAATTTTCAGGATTTTAAGGATTTTAAGGATTTTTAAGGATTTTAAATGGGCCTGCCTCTTTCCGGAAAATCATTTAATTTTCTTTCAAAATTTTAAGGATTTTAAGGATTTTAAGGATTTTAAAAGGCCTTAAATTCCTTAAAACCCTTAAAATTTTAAAAGGCCCAGGCTTTCAAAATTTTAAGGATTTTCAGGATTTTTAAAATTTTAAATGGGCCTGACTCTTTCCGGAATATATTTTAATTTTATTTCAAAATTTTAAGGATTTTAAGGATTTTAAGAAATTTACAAGGCGTTAAATTCCTTAAAATCCTTAAAATGTTGAAAGCCCCAACCTTTCAAAATTTTAAGGGTTTTAAGGATTTTAAGGATTTTAAGGATTTTTAAAATTTTAAATGGGCCTGCCTCTTTTCGCAAAATAATTTAATTTTCTTTGAAAATTTTAAGGATTTTAAGGATTTTAAGAAATTTAAAAGGCCTTAAATTCCTTAAAATCCTTAAAATTTTGAAAGGCCCGGGCTTTCAAAATTTTAAGGATTTTAAGGATTTTAAGGATTTTTACAATTTCAAATGGGCCTGCCTCTTTCCGGAAAATGATTTAATTTTCTTTCAAAATTTTAAGGATTTTAAGGATTTTAAGGATTTTAAGGATTTTAAGAAATTTAAACGGCCTTAAATTCCTTAAAATCCTTAAAATTTTGAAAGCCCCAACCTTTCAAAATTTTAAGGATTTTAAGGATTTTTAAAATTTTAAATGGGCCTGCCTCTTTCCGGAAAATAATTTAATTTTCTTTCAAAATTTTAAGGATTTTAAGGATTTTAAGAAATTTAAAAGGCCTTAAATTCCTTAAAATCCTTAAAATTTTGAAAGCCCCAACCTTTCAAAATTTTAAGGATTTTAAGGATTTTCAGGATTTTTAAAATTTTAAATGGGCCTGCCTCTTTCCGGAAAATAATTTAATTTTCTTTCAAAATTTTAAGGATTTTAAGGATTTTAAGAAATTTAAAAGGCCTTAAATTCCTTAAAATCCTTAAAATTTTGAAAGGTCCGGGCTTTCAAAATTTTAAGGGTTTTGTGGTCCTTTTAAAATTTTGGAAAACCCCTAAATTCCTTAAAATCCTTAAAGTTTTGGAAGGCGAAGCAGGACCGTCAAATAACGCATAAAGGTCCTACATACATATATATATATACATATCTATATATCTATATAATTATATATTCGTGTGCATGTATATATATATATGTACTTCGCTACATGTTGCCTTCATTGGGTTGCCTGCTACAAGCGGAATGCAATTGTCATATGATATAGCATGTGGAGTTTTGTGAAACTGTGACTCCACCCAGGAAGAAGATACAGGGTGCTATTGCTCATTGCGAGAAGAACAAGTTGTGGAAAAAGTGCCCATACGAGGGCTGCAAGAAGTACCTGGTTCAGATCAGTGACCGTGTCGAGCATCTATGGCTGCACCTTCTTTGTGCTTGGTTGGCTCTGCTTAATCAATGTGTGTGTCCCCTGCTTGCTTCCCCATGTCAGGCAGGGATCTGAGTCCTTGCGAGAACTGGAAGAGATTCTGGAAAGCACAGGCTGTTTGTGTGTAATTGTTGTTCCCGCTGAAATGTTTAGCTGGTCATTTCTGTTTGCAGGTGCTTTTCGCGAAAATTTCGATCTGGAGCTCGGAGTTGGGGATCTGCTGGAGATCTCGGATGATGAAGGTAAAGCCCCAAACAAACCCAAGAAAAAAAAGGCTGGGGATCTGCCGATGCTGGATGGGGAAGAGACGCTGAATGAGTTCGTCTCTAGATACAAGAACACCTGCCTCGGAAAGCGCAAGCAGTACCGTGAGATTGTGGAACGCCTCAAGGAGGAGAAGTGCCAGGGCCACGAGTGAATTGGCTACACATCTATATAGATATGGTGTTGTCATGCACGCATTTTGGTGGTAATACCATCGTACATGCAGTGTCTGTGTGTTCTGAGGCAGGACCTGAATGACTTGAAGGTCGAGATGGGCAGCTTGTATTGGATGCTGAGTGTATACATTTCCTACACACAGAGCTCGTGCCTTCATAATAGAAAAAAGATATATATATATGTATGAAAAGCTTGTGTAGCATGGATGTGCGCTGAGATGAGCTTGACCAGCGGTACAAGAACTTGTGTGATTTGGAGATTGTCCACAAGAACGGGCTTCTTGATGGCACGACAGCTGTTTCAGAATTCTATAGTATGTGTTTATGATCTCGCTTGTGCTTGTGTATTTATCCTTCAATCTTGTCGTTTGTGTGCAGGACAAAGCATGACTTCAAGGATGTCACTACCAAGATCCAGGAGTCGTTGGTCCGCTTCAAGAACAAGACGGATTGTGTCAAGTCTGGGCCAGAGTACGTATACATATGCACATGTGTACATATATATATATATATATCACCTCTGAAATTATATGTGTATTTGCAATGCAATGAAAAGCGATGTCTGCCCTTTGCATTGTTCACACACAGACTTTGTAAACCGCAAACACAGGCCTGGCATATGTACCTTCTCAGGACGTATTTCCGCAAGGTCGCTGCCAAGGGCAAGGCCAAATCGAAGCCCAAGCGTGAGGAGGACGAGTGAGCTGGGCCAGGCACTTTTGCTTGCATCTTTGCAGCAGTTTTGATGGAGAGTTTTGATTCGGCTGAGCTGCCACATACTCACACACACACATTACATATTCACACACACATGAATATGAATATATATATATATATACATATATTTGTATACTGGTGCACCAACAAAACTTTAAGACCTCTGGACACACATGTGCAGCAGGTGTCTAAGAGTTTATCCTTGTATATATATATATGTATATATATATATAAATACAAGAAACCATTGCATATCTGTACATGTGTATACATGTGTATATATGATTCAGCCCCGGCGGGCCCCCCCCCCCTCCCCCCTACCCCCCCCCCCCTGTGGTGTGGTTGGGGGTTGGTTTTAGGGTTTTAGGGTTTAGGGTTTAGGGTTTAGGGTTTTAGGGTTTTAGGGTTTTAGGGTTTAGGGTTTAGGGTTTAGGGTTTTAGGGTTTTAGGGTTTTAGGGTTTAGGGTTTAGGGTTTACGGTTTAGGGTTTTAGGGTTTAGGGTTTAGGGTTTAGGGTTTAGGGTTTTCCCCGCGGATGGGGTACTAAGATGATCCCCCCCCCCTGTGGTGGGGTTGGGGGTTGGTTTTAGGGTTAGGGTTTAGGGTTCAGGGTTTTAGGGTTTAGGGTTTAAGGTTTAAGACTTAAGGTTTAGGGTTTAGGGTTAGGGTTTAGGTTTTAGGGTTTAGGGTTTAGGGTTTACGGTTTAGGGGTTTAGGGTTTAGGGTTTAGGGTTTAGGGTTTAGGGTTTAGGGACCGTAGAGTAGGCTTGGGGGGGGGGGGGATACCATGGGGGGCGGGGGGGCCCAGGACGCTCGACGCTGAACCATATATATATATATATATAGTATATTTAGTATGTATGGTATATGGTATATATAGTATATATATAGAGGTGAGTAGCGTATAGATATGTAATGTGATGTGGCATATATATATATATATCATATGTATACTTGCATGTGTATATATATATACACATATACACACCGTGTATATGTACGCCTTTATCTTGGCAGCCGCACTGCGCAGCAGTGGTCACCCAGCAGTCCTCCGCGCGACTCTGTGTGGGTGAAGAAGAGCGTGCTGTTCTTGAAGCTACTGCTCCCCTGGCGAAGCTGTTGTCTGCAGTATATGTATATATATATATATATATATATATATATATATACATATGAGAAATATGTAGATATAGAGTCATGTTAAGCTTGAGAACCTGGGTCTACCCTTCTCTGCACAGCCATGTTGGGGTAGCTACACAGCTATATTGGGGCATCTATGCAGCTATGTTGGGCTGTGGACTGGATAAGACTATGTATCGGCCTGCTTCGCAGTGATGCATGTTTCGAGGCTTATCTATCTAATGTATGTTCTGGCACAAAGCCCGAAACCTGAGAAGGTCCAGAAACCTCATCCCAATGCTGTGCAACAATGACCCCTGGAATATTGCAGCCAATTCCCCCCACGCAGGTGCTGCTGTTGTAGGCAATGTCCTGGACCAGTACTTGGCTGCTCTGCTATTGTGAATTTGGCAAGTTTCCTCTTGTGGTTATTCAGTTTAGTTTAACACGAGGTGCTTGAGTGTGGGATTGTCCTAGCAACCTGATGAATAAGGCACACAATGCAAAAACAGCCTCGGGTATTGCAGCTCAGACAGCCTCCACCATGGAAGCTTCGGATCCCTGGCACAGCACTTTGAGGCAGCTAGGCCTGGCGCACCACTCTCCCAGCGACAAAGAGACGGTTTTCCTGTGTTCGAGCTTTGGGCTTCACTTTGAAGACCAGGGTGCAAATGAAGCAAGTTATCTTCCCAGATGGTTGGGGTGATCATCCTGTTATTCCTCTCGCCCAGCTTGCTAAAGAAATTCTGGTGGAACATCCTCAACTGCTGTTTTTTGGCCATGGCTATGATCAGCTGCAACATGTGCAAGCCACACTCAGAACTTTCTGGGAGCGCTTCAAGCATGTCTGGCCGGGGCATGAAGTGTATTCACTTCATGGGGCCCGTCTCGGGCAGTGTATACCTTGCCGCATCCATGCGGACGAAGGTACCTCTTTTCGCCAATCTGGGATTTACCAGCAGTCCTGGGGGCCAATCTTGAAGTCTGGTAGCGCCAGTTCAGCGCACTGCTTTTTCTATAGCTGCGCCTTGGCAGAAGCCTACAAGGACAGGCTTCGGAAACAGGCTTTGTTGGTATGTTTTTATAAGGGATTGCCATTGCCATGCCAAGTATAATACATACATAAGTATATATATATATATATGTATGTATGTGTGTATACATATATATATATATATATATATCTATGATATATGTATATATATACATATACATATATATATATATATGCTTGTATGACTACTTAGATTACATATGAATGCTCCACATGTACGGTGTGTGTGTGTGTATACAAAGACATGCTGTGGTGCCCGCCAGGAATTCCACGCTGGTTTTGCTGCTGGCAACAAGACACTGGACAGCATCACGGGGCACTTTGTGGCAGAGGCCAATGACTGTTTCTACAATGGTGTTCGTGGCCTCACTGGTCAGTGGTATCTGGTGTTCTTGAGGCTTGAAGGCGACCTGCCAGCGCAGGCGAAGTTGATGCATTCTGCGCGAAACTTCACAAATGCGCCAAACCAGATGTGCCCGTGGTGTTTGGCTGATGACAGGGATGTTCCATTTGGGGATCATCGGAACTGCGCGGGGTGGCGGGCGACAACTTCATCAGAGAAGCCATGGGCCTCACCAAGTCCTTTGCACCTTCTACCAGGTGGTAATATGGAGCAGTTTATGGCAAAGGACCTGTTTCATACCACCCATGTGGGAGTCACCCGAACGTTCGTCGCCTCAGCCATCTGCTACTTGGTGCACGTGGGGCATTTCACCCCTCCACATGGTGCCGGCGTCTCAGTACCTGCCCGCTTGAAGGTCGCCTACAGCAGCTTTCGTGAACACTGCCAGTTGGTTCAGCACGAGATGCCAGATGTGAAAACATTCAGCCGGGAGAACTTGGGATGGCTTTCGCTGGCGAAAATGCCAGAGACCTCATGGTGGCTTGGCCTTAAATTAGTTGCATCTATGTCAGACGCAGATAGATGAACATAATGTATGTATACACACCTATATATATAAATATACATGGAGATCAGAGAGGGACACATGTCATATCATGTAGTGTAGCATGACTTTTCAGTCTTGTTTACATATAAATATATTCTTTATATACATAGAGATCAGAGAAGGACACATGTCATATCATGTAGTGTAGCATAACTTTTCTGTCTTGTCTACATAAATATATATATATATATGTATATGATGAGAATATATATATATGTATATATATAATATATATTTAATATATATATATATATCTATGTATCGATTGAATGTTTTTTTTGGGCTTTTGTCTTATGATTGCAAGCTTTAAGCCTGACGAAAGACAAGTACATCCAGTCTGAATTCAGGAAAGGCTCTGATGCTCGCTTGCTGGTCAAGTGGCTGATCGACTACTTGCTGCGCCCATTTAACCGAGATGAGGTGATGGAGTACATGCTCACTGCCCTGGTCGCACTCGACGATTTCCTCCGGCTCTGTTATGAGAAGAGCGACCGGGTCTGGTTGGATGCCGCGCAGTGTGCTTTGGCCAGGAGGCTACTGCAAGACTTTTTCACCAACTATGTGGGTGCAGCCAAGACCTGCCATCGTCGGGGACAGCTTTTCTTCAATGTAACCCCGAAACTGCACTACCTATTCCATCTGGAAGAAGACCTGGCATGGTCACAGTCGCAATCAGTGTGGGCCCTGAATCCTGCATGTTTTGCGACACAGATGGATGAGGACTACATAGGTGTAGTCTCACAGATGAGCAGGCACTGCCATCCCCTTGGGGCTGCCAAAAGGACAGCTGAACGATGGCTCGTGTATGCCTGGAGGAAGTGGCAGAGAAAGTAAAATGCAAAGGGCTTCGCACACCCTAAACCCAAAACCCTATAAGAAGGGGATCATCCGATAAAATTGGAACGATACAGAGCAGATTAGCATGGCCCCTGTGCAAGGATGACTCGCACAAATCGAGAAGTGGTGAAACCATACCCTGAACCCTAAACCCTAAACCCTTAGCCCTTAACCCTTAACCCTACCCAAAACCCTAAACCCTAAACCCTATAACCCTATATATAGAGCCAACCCTATGTAAACCCTGTAGGGTTCAGGGTTTCAGGGTTGGGGGTTTGGGGTGCAGTCAGCATGTCGGAGTGTTGAGGGGTTTGAGGGTTTGGGGTTTGGGGTGCAGTCAGCATGTCGGAGTGTTGAGCGGTTTAGGTTCTTCGGAATCCCCCCCCTGCCACCCGCTTCAGGGGCTTTGAGGGTTTAGGGGTTAAACCCTTTAACCCCAAACCCTAAACCGTGGTGTGCTGAGTGTAGGTGTGGTTCTTTGCTGGCTTGTCGTGTTGCTGCACCCAGGCATGTATATATATATATATATATGTTGATATATATATATATATACACATGTCTTTTTATAGGTACAGGTAGATGTTGACTATACATATATATATATATATGTATATGTATATGTATATGTATATGTTGCAAAAAACATGTATATATACAAATCAACATATATGTATATATGTTGAAAAATGTGTGTGTCTACATATATGTATCAAGACACATGAATTTCAAATCTTTTCTGGGCTTCTTGACTCAAAACCCAACAGATCCTTCACTTCAAAAAACCGGATTTCTCAAGAAACTGGAATATTCTGGTAATTAAGGAAAAACTAAAAAAAGGTACTACGTTGGCACCTTCAGGTAGGTCAATGATTATGAGCAAAAGCACAACAAAAACACACAACTTGCTGGTCAACCTCCCACTTTGATTCCTTTCGGGCTGGTTGGCGTGCCTGCTATGAAGCTGGAGACGAAAACAAAACAAGCGGTTGGATCTGCTAAAAGGTGGCGCAATCATCCCACATGAGAAAAAGAACAACCAGCTGTTTGATGCTGTTGGATCTTCAGAGGTGAATTTGGATCTTTCGACAGGTCAAGCCCTAACGGCCCTAACATCGATTGACCACCCCATCCAGACCCTCCCCAGGGCCCCAAGACTGCGCGGACGCTTTCAAGCCAGCTGCTAATGTGAAACTCCTTAACGCAATGATAAGTCCCTTACACATCCAATGCGCGGACTTTTAACCCCTACAGTCTTTCCAATCCCTGCAGCTCTTGGCCGAGAACTCTCGCCAGCCCACCCCAACGCCCCAACACAAATATCAGGCCGCGCCCTACACCCCTACCCCCCGCCCCCATCCCCCCCGCCCCCCCTCCGGCTCACACCCCCCCAACCCCTTTCTTTCCCTGCAAGGGAAACGATAATGCGTAGCAAGGGGTCCATCAAATCCAGTGTTTGCAATGGCTGCCGTGGGTGTTGCGGGCGGTTGTCTTCACGCAAAAATTGGGGCGCATCGATATGCGTGCTGTTTCTTGCCACCTTTTTCGTGCTGCTTGAGCTCTTGTGGGTTTAGCGATGTTTGCTAGCCCAATAAAAGGACTCAAACAACACAAAAAATGCCAACAAACACTACACAAATCGACGTACCAACACTGGGTTTACATGAGGCAACCGCCCGCAACACCCACCGCAACCGTTTCAATGGCAGGATACTCTTCTGGGGCCCTTTCAGAGGGTGGGAGGAGGGAGGGGGGCCGGGGTGCCTTACAAGGGCTGTATGGTAGCCAGGAAACCCAGAAAGACCAGAGAACAACCCTAAACCCCCAAAATCCCTTAATCCTGAGCCCTAAACCGAAACCCTCCAAACCCCGCTAAACTCAAAAAAACCCATCACCAAATTTTAGAGAACCCTAAACTGCCCTAAGCCCGGTAGCCCAGTCGCCGTTCTCCTCTGCCCACGTTCTTTATTTCAAGGTTTGCAGGGTCGAGGAACTGTACTTGGAAGGGCTATGGGGACTCGAATGGGGTTTCTAGGGGATACTAAGTAGACTTACTAAGTCAAAGAGAGCTTCCACGTAGGGTTTATAGGGTTGAGGACTGATGGTTTCTGGGCTTTACTTAGAGTAAACTTTACTGGGTTTACTGGGTTTAGGGATGAGGGGCCCCCAACCCTATAAACACCCTAAACCCTAAACCCACATGGTTTACTGGGTTTACTGGGTTTAGGGTTTAGGGTTTAGGGGTTTATCGGCTCTAGAGCATGAGGGTCCGCCGACCCTGGCGGCGTGTTGGATGGAAGGAGGTGTGGGGGGGGGGGGGGTGGGGGGGGTGGGGGGGTGTGGGGGGGGGGGTGGGGGCGGTGGAAGGGAGTGTGGGGAGGGCGGTGGTTAGGGGGGGGGGGGTGGGTGGGGGGGGGGGGGGGAGTGGGGAAGGTGAAAACCCCTCCTTACCCCCCCCAAAACGCAGAGGGGGGTAGGGGGGGGTCCCCGGGCAGCTTTTCCATGGAGGGCCAGACCACCCACACGGCATAAACTCACGGACCATAGGCGGTTTCGCACAGGACATAGGGGCCCTTTGGGAAAAACCACCCCCCCCCCGACCCCCCCCCCCCAACCCCCCCCTACCCCCCTCTACCCCCCCCCCTACCCTCCCCCCCCTAACGAACGCGTTTACACCTTTCAACTATGCTCCAGCGGGGTCGGCGGCTTGAGCCGGAGGCTCTTAAATTTTTAGGGCTTCTGGCCAACCGGCAGTCGCCAGGGCAGCCAAGGACATTCTAGAAACGCTTGCAACCCTGAGGTTTAGGGTTTAGGGTTTAGGCCTTGGGGCTTAGGCTTGGGGTTTAGGGTTTAGGGCTTAGGTTTAGGGTTTAGGGTTTAGGGTTTAGGGTTTAGGGTTTAGGGCTTGGGGTTTAGGGTTTAGGGTTTAGGGATTAAGGATCAGAGCCCTAAGCCCTCTCAACACAAGAGGGCGCCTTCAGGCAGTCGATGAAGACCGGCTCACAATCCTCCAACCTTGGGTTCCCCTATGTGTAGGGTTTAGGGTTTAGGGTTTAGGGTTTAGGGTTTAGGGTTTAGGGTTTGGGGTTTGGGGTTTAGGGTTTAGGGTTTAGGGTTTAGGGTTTAGGGTTGAGGGTTGAGGGTTTAGGGTTTAGGGTTTAGGGTCCATGTACCTATATGGCATATACTTGGCCCTTGGCCCTTATGAAGGGGTTCCCATAAGTAACTTTAGGGCCCAAGTATCTACGGTATAGGTACATGGACCCTTCGGGTTCGAGACTCAAGAGAGGAAGGGTCGTTTAGGGTTTAGGGTTTAGGGTTTAGGGTTTAGGGTTTAGGGTTTAGGGTTTAGGGTTCGGGGGAATAGTATGCAGATCCACAAAGCAAGGAACCCGCACATGAGTGACATTGTGGGGGCTCCCCAAAATCCCAAGCTCAGGCTTAAAGTTCACCTGGTACCTCAAAACCGAATAAGCAGCTACGGGGACATGGAACTATAGTATACTTCCCTTAGAACCTGAATAAAAGTAACATGTTTGATGCTCCCTCGGATCGTATAAAAATAAAACCAAAACCAATCCCTAAGGGGCTAACCCTAAACCCTAAACCTAAACCCTAAACCCTAAACCCTAAACCCTGAACCCTAAACCCTAAACCCTAAACCCCCGGCGATGGAAGGTTTGGCGGCTTATAGGCTACAAGCCCAGGAGTAACCTAGAAATAAAGGGTACCCTTTGGTTTAAAGGGGCTGACAAGGGAACCTGACCCTTAAAAAAAGGGCATAAGGGGGCTTTACTGCATTTGGGGCTTTGAGAGGGCGATTCTAGGGTGTGGCTTGCTGCTCGGCTTACCCTCAACCCTCAACCCTCAACCCTCAACCCTCAACCCTCAACCCTCAACCCTAAACCGTTGGCCGGGACACTCTTGCAGTGACTTACCACCGATGGCAGAGATACAGTCGCCCGGGGACAGGTTCTCTTGACCCGGCTCGTCGTCGATCTCTTCGATGACCATGCCGTACCTTCAACCCGAGGGTGCAGGGTCCTAAACCCTAAACCCTAAACCCTAAA